AATGATGAGACTTCTCTGGATAAACTATAATACTGTTTGAAGAAATGAAAACAATAAAATAATAAAAATAAATAAACGTCACTATGCTAGTTGAAAAGAGGCAGATATGTTTAGGGTGTTATCCAATTCTAAAATGCTTAGAAGAGAAACAGCCTAGGGCAAGAAGGGCACTGGGGTATTTCCTAGATGACTGTTGTAGCCAACCTGTGGAGGAAGGCTTCCAGGAATTATTGGAGTGCCCAGGTAGGTACATACAGCATACTTACAGACAATGGCCTCAGATGGGACAAGGTTTAAAAGAACAGCATCAGCATTCTGAGTTTGGTATACAAATGGTCTGGAACCCAATATAGCTGGTATCTCATTATTCTGTTGACCAACCCCAATTAGTAAACTAGCAGTGCTATTCTGGATTACCTGAATTTTCGAATATAACTCTAATGACAACAATGGCAGTAATCTGAGTAATTAAGGTATAATATATAAATGATTCCAGGCAATACTTGTACAGTTAGGACTGATTAGCTGGTAAGACACTATTTAGCCACTCAAGACAGCCTCCAGTGACAATGACAAGAGCAGTCCCAAACTGCATAACTGAAATTTCAAGGGGAGTGCCTCAATCTCCAAAACAGATTGAGTATCATTCACTTGGGTAGACAACCCACCTCCATCTCATGGTACCCTCCAAAACAGATTGAGTATCATTCACTTGGGTAGACAACCCACCTCCATCTCATGGTACCCTCCAAAACAGATTGAGTATCATTCACTTGGGTAGACAACCCACCTCCATCTCATGGTACCTCCATCTTATCTAGGGTGCATTTTAACACACTGAATGCCAAATGACTCTCAGTCAGCTAGGCAAGAAACTGAAGGAACAGATTTCCAAGGACACCAAACTCTAATATGTACATTTATTGTAAGGAAGTTAATGAAGCCACATCAAAAGAATTCCAGAGACTGCTATCTATCAAATACAAGCCCTGTTTAGAGTAAAATCAGGGTTTAAATTCTGGCACCTATCTATAGCATAATGAGCTAGAAGCCACTCCCTTTTGGGCATTATCCATTCAGGATATCCACTACCTCCCTGTGATTAGGCAAAAAGGGGAGATACCGTGTGATGTTATTGCATTTTCACAATATTTGTTCATACCCTGAATAATCTCCCAGTATGTTAAAGAACTTTATGACAAACCTGCTATAGAACAGAGCAATAATCCCCAACACCAATTTTTAGAATAGGTTCATCAGGTAGGGCCAGAAGTATTATAAAACAGCAGCCTGAATTCCCAATTCCATCCTGAAGCTATTAAAGAGGTCTTAAACACTGCCCTAAAGCCAGAATGAAAACTATCTAGAAAATCATTCATTCTGAAATGCCCAGGATTGATTAGCATCTGTCTGTTCAATCACCTCTCTCAAGAATGTAGCTGCTAACAGTCAGGCTACATTTGTCCTCAACAACTAGGCCCAACACAGCTTTCTTCCAAAATAACCCAATTATTGTCTCTTTCAAAAAGAAAGAGAAATTAACCACTTCCAATATTCAAGTGACCATTATGTATTTATCAGGTGTACCAACCAAGAACTCAAACATAAAAATATGCAGTCAAACTTCATAAACTTTATCTAGACCTTTACAACTAAAAGTAGAACAATAAAGCTGAATGAAATAGTGCTCTGGATATCTCTAAGTTATTCTGAATATGAGCAACCTCTCTTTAAAATGTCATATATATTTACTGTGGGTTTGATAAATTATTTCAGTATCCACGTGTAAACAAAACCCTTTACTTCCCAGAACAGCTTAAATGAATAGATTTGATGCAAGGCAAGTGAAAAATAGCCCTTTTGCCACTCTTGCTACTCAGTAATGAGTTTCTGCTCATTTTTAATTAAATTAAGCATGAGTTTTCTTCTACTGACTTTTCAATTATCACACTAACTTCACTGTCCTAAACCCTGGGATATTCTGATTTGGCTCTGAAAAAAGGAAAAGGATACTTGGGTGCATTCACATTAACATACATTAACAAATCACATTCCTCTGTTTGACCAGAGCTTCAACAGGGGTATCAAATATTCCAATGGTACCTCCCCAATCCAACCCTGCAATCCCTCCAGAACCATAAATATCTATTTGCCTTCAGGAAGACAACTCTTCAGGTAGAATCCCTACCTTTAGAGGGGAGAATGCCACTGAGTACTTAAATCTCAACAAATAATGATATTACATCACTCCCTTTTAAGTGTTACAGTCTTCTCTTTTGGAACATCTTCCTATCCATTCAAGTAAATCAAATCTAGAATGCTACTTTTGGGGATGGCAGCATACAGACAACCCTAGTTGACATCATTAACTACAGGAGATAAAATGGCCTCAGTGTGCATCTAACAAGGCCATCAACCTGGGAGTTCTCAACAAGTCCAAAATTGTAGCTCAAATAGGGAGACTTCTCATCTGTCCTGAATGCAAAGCACCATACACATTCACAAACCTGGCACACTGGCAGACAGGAAGTCAAGAAGGAGAGTCTTAAAGTCCACAACCATCCCCACCTCCATGACCTTTGATCATGTGCTCATGTAACACCAAATGTCCTAGCCAACACATCTAGGTAAGACTTAAATTTGTTCTCTCCTTAAACTTTACTTACATACATTTAGTCCTAAATTAATTCAGTCTGGATTTAACTGACATTTTGCCACAGTACTACACAATACAAGGACAAGCTGATATGGCAGCCAGAACTTACAGGGGAAGTTGATAAAGCAGCTGACTCCCCTTCTCCTCACGTGGCACTCCTGAAAATGATGGGGCTTTGAAATTGGGCTTTTAATGTACAGGCTTTGGATTACAATCTGGTAACTCTGTAATTCAGGAATCAGCAATGCATCCAAATTGTAAGTCAAACCTGCATCATTTATATGCAACAAACTAACAAAACTGCATGTCACATGAGAATACCAATGCCTGCTTCTGTTATGGAGAAGTAGGCTTGACGGCACAATTAAGTTTAGAGAAATAATCACCTGAGGTCTTTTGCTTTCTCCTCTATAGTTCTCTATTCAGAATCAGCATTATCCAAGCTCCAAACTGCACCTGACTTTTTCTTCTTGCAGAAACAGCACCATCATGATTTTGGTGCCCACATTCTAATTTGTTGTGTTAAAAAGTGTCCTTTGAGTCAAGTTCAACTCCTGCTGAATTCTTGATCATATCCATGCAGTTTTCTTGGCAAAAGCATGGAGGTGATTTGCCATTGGCTTACCTTTTTGCAGCTATTTTGGAGAAGCCACAATGTTATTGCCTACCAAAACTGAAGAATTTATATACATTTTCAAGTAAAATGTTTGGAAGGGGATAAATTGTTTAATTAAGGTCCCTCCCCCCACCCAAATAAATGTATCTTTTATATCATCAATGCAGCCTGAGAAATGAATTCTCATTTCTCACATCTTTCTTCACTTGCAGATTAGCAAAGTGAAATCTAAACATTACTAGATTTTCACATGCTGGATTTATGCCCTTATCTTGCTGTGCTTATATCTTAGTTATAATCCTAATCTTTATTGCCTAATCTTTATTCTTTCATTTGAGATCTCATGTTTACTGGAATTAGCACCAATTCTTTCAAATTACAAAGATTTGGAGCTGCTCTATGCTTGTGAAAACATCAGTGAGCTTTACTAAATCACATTCTATTGACAAGAAATGTTTAATAAGGGTTCTGAGCATGGGCTTTCAAGATTCTCAACTATTAGGCAAAGTCTAGACAGACCAACATCTGGGAGAAAATTCACAACATCCCAAGATTTCCATGAAATAAAATGGAAGGAAGGAATTCCAGATACATTCATTTTTGACAAGCAAGCTAATTTCTTTGGAATGGGATATTTTCCAAAGAGCTTAGGAAGTATCCTGAGTCTTAAGAACTATAATGGAGTATTCCAGAATGTAGACATATGGCGCTAATCTTAGTTTCTTGTGTTTCCACTTAGAAGAATCTTGTACAGGTGGGCAAGGCAACCTTGTCTGGGACCTTGAAGAGATGTTTACTGGTCAAAATAAGCAGTACTGAGCTAAGTAAAGAGCACTTCAGCTCAATACAACCAAAAAAGAAAGAACCCTCTTTAGTGACCTAGGTCTGGATTTTGGAGAAATCACACATTATGCTAGTATAAGCTTCACATGGTTGAAACTAACATGGATTAATGGCTGGTCACTCGTTAAGAAGAGGCATGCATTTTAACACCTTTCTCACAAACTGTACAAGGTGGTAAATCTTTGAACTTAGTATCTTCCATGATGCTAAGTTCCCACATCCTCACATATCCAGTTCTAGCTCAAGCAAGCATGAATTTACACTTGCAGCAGCCTGAGCTACAAATTCTCAGTGCAAATGTCCCTCTTGCTGTGAAACAATAAGCTATCTTAGATAAGCTATGCCCTCCCATTGTTGGCCCTTCTTCCAATATAGGCTTATCTTAAACCATTGCTGAAACATGGAAATCAAAATAACATGTATGAAATATTGTGAACACTCAAAAGCACTATATTATTAAACAACAACAAAAAAAATGTATCCTGGGAAGCCAGGATAGCCCCTCCCCCCACTTTTTTTTGATGTGCAGGAATTTCCTCCACTTATTATCTTTCCTTGGAAAAATATTCAGTAATATGAACCCATATATGCAGTCTGAGATGGAAGAGTCCACAACTATCTCATCAGCTGCTTAAGAGAAATTGTTATAAGGTTCTAACTCATTGTATATCATGAAGAAATCTAATGCCAAACACCCTCTCTTCCAATTATTATTAATACCTGCGTGGATGTATATCTGTGAAAAGACTGGGCTATATAAAATATAAAGTTAAAAACTGCTAATGGATGCAAACTTCTGACACTTCCACATCCAGTCCTCATAAATTGGTTCCACAAAGGGCAGCTGAGGGGGAGCTATTAAGCTGTGTCAGCAAAGCCAATTACCTCCAGTGCAGCAGAAGGCTTCTTTTTAAGTTCTTCACATTTTCGGAATTTGCAAATCTGGTGTCCAGTTTTACGGTTCCTACAACTGCTGCACTGCTCACAGTTTATTCGTCTTCTGCAAGGAGGGCACATGCCACATCGTTTTCGTTTCTTTTTCCCTGAATTGATGGCAGATGCCAATTCATTCTGCATTGGGTACTCTGCTAAGCCAGCCATATGGAGTGCACTTTCTGCCAAAAATACACCAGCAGGGGTCATAATGAAAAGGCCAGGGTTGATGGGAAAAGCCCCCAGGTAAGGAAAATCAGATGGGTTGTTCATTGTTTCAGCAGCTGAGACAGCTTCCATGTCTGAGATGCCCGTCCCATGGTCATTAGGCAGGGGGATGTGCTCCTGGACTACTCTTTTGAGCAGCTCTGTGGACTGAGCAAACTGTTGCAAGATGTTTTGTCCTTCCGAAGAAATATCTGATTTGCTCAACATGTCAGAGATGGTTTTGTGCTTTGAGGTAGAATTGCTTTTTTCCATGATTGCCTCATTGCTGTTGGCCATAGGAGCACATTTCTCTGAATGTTCACTTAATGAGCTGGTGCTACCAAAAGCAGAGTAATGGGAAAGTGGTCGAGACTTCTTAAGACTTTTGTTTAAAGGTTCGCTTATTATCCCACTTTTGTTCCTCCTTTCCAAATTGACTGAGGGCTGAGAATCACCGGAATTGTTGCTTTTTTCCAACAAGCCTGGCTTGATACCAGCATCTTGATGGGCGTCAAGATCAGACATCTTTTTTTTTTTTTTAACAAAGGAACCAGACAAAGCAACAAGCCCACTTACTGTAGAAAATAATCAATCACCACAATACTAAGAGCAGTAATCACAAAAAAAATGGAAGGGGCAAGATCTGTCCTCAGTGCAATTTCACAGTCATTACAACATCTCCTGCAGGTTTCATATATCACACGTAGCTCTGAAAGTAAAGAAAAAACAAAAAAACAGAGAACAGAGAGGAGAGAAATTAGCAAAGAGTTAGTATCTGCTAAAACAAATGGCTTCTGTATTAGTGCTTGCTTAAAACGTCCCTTGTAAAAAAGTCAGGTCCATACCACATACACGTTCAGAACATGTGTTTTTCAATTTGACTTGTTTTGTGTGATCTAGATCTTACAGACTCTGATTGGATGACTTACCCTGTGATCTGATTGTTCGCCGCCCAGAATCACTTGTTGAGATGGGTGGCCACAGAAATCAAATAAATAAATGAATAAATAAAATCTGTGCTGCTTGTAAATATAGGTAGCAGACTGCAACAATACAGTACCTGAGAAACAAGATACTAATTCAATTCTTTATTTGCAAACTTCTTGGACATCTCTCTTCCTTTCCTTTATGGGTACTCAAAAGATCATTTCTCCTATAGGTGTTGTCCTTGACATGATAGAGCGGGTATAGTTTATGAATTGGCCATTTCACATTAATTTAGGAAGCCAGTTCTGGAAGGGAACTATCTTGCTTCCAAGCATCTATTTTTAAAGAATTCTAAATTGGGGAAGAAGTGCTGAATTAAAGTGCAATTGTTAATTTACTATTTATAATTGCCCATGTATTTTTAAAATGACAAATAATTTTTATACCTGAGAAGAAAAGAATCTGTGCAAGTCCAATTCCAGCATTTCTACATAGGTCTGGGGAAAACTCCTGCCTGAGAGTTGCTACGAGTAGACAAGACTGAGTTAGTTGGACAAGTACTTTTACTGCATTAAATACATTGTTCTATGGTACTAGAGAGGAGATATTTATTCAAGAAAAAATGCTGGAATGAAAATTTATAGTCAGCAAAAATGTAATCTTAAGGTATTGAAAGAATATATCAGCATGAATGAAAGACCTATCTTTGCAAAAGATCCTAATAATGTAAACATTCTCTAGTTCTGAATACAAATGTCTGTACAAATAACTGAGTTTTCACTCTCAAACAAAAGCAACATACTGTGAAAACCCAAATAGGCAGCAGGCTTTCAGGCTGTAGCACTGGATCTATAAAGGAAAAAAAAAAACATGCAAAAATGTTTCAGATTTTCATAATGTCCAGTTTATGTCTTTGAATGGGGAACCAGACTTGCAATTAAGACATTCATTCATATGAAAGGTAAAAGTGAGTTTGCAAAGAGTATGCAGGACAACAGAGATCCTTTCAGAGGCTATAATGGAGAAAAAAAATGAACAAATGCCAACAAATGCAGTAAAAATGCCAACTAACCTAGTGAAAACTGCCACTTCAATGCAAGATCTCATTCTGAGATAGTGGGTTTTATTTCTACAGTGGGGCAAAAAAGTATTTAGTCAGCCACCAATTGTGCAAGTTCTCCCACTTAAAAAGATGAGAGAGGCCTGTAATTTTCATCATAGGTATACCTCAACTATGAGAGACAAAGACCCAGCCACGTTTCATCTTCAATGCCCTTGCTGATGGAAGGAGGTGTTGTCTCTCATAGTTGAGGTATACCTATGATGAAAATTACAGGCCTCTCTCATCTTTTTAAGTGGGAGAACTTGCACAATTGGTGGCTGACTAAATACTTTTTTGCCCCACTGTAGAAATAAAACCCACTATCTCAAGACCCAGCCACGTTTCATCTTCAATGCCCTTGCTGATGGAAGGAGGTGTTCACTCAAAATCTCACGATACATGGCCCCATTCATTCTTTCCTTTACACAGATCAGTCATCCTGTCTCTCATAGTTGAGGTATACCTATGATGAAAATTACAGGCCTCTCTCATCTTTTTAAGTGGGAGAACTTGCACAATTGGTGGCTGACTAAATACTTTTTTGCCCCACTGTAGAAATAAAACCCACTATCTCAAGACCCAGCCACGTTTCATCTTCAATGCCCTTGCTGATGGAAGGAGGTGTTCACTCAAAATCTCACGATACATGGCCCCATTCATTCTTTCCTTTACACAGATCAGTCATCCTGTCTCTCATAGTTGAGGTATACCTATGATGAAAATTACAGGCCTCTCTCATCTTTTTAAGTGGGAGAACTTGCACAATTGGTGGCTGACTAAATACTTTTTTGCCCCACTGTAGAAATAAAACCCACTATCTCAAGACCCAGCCACGTTTCATCTTCAATGCCCTTGCTGATGGAAGGAGGTGTTCACTCAAAATCTCACGATACATGGCCCCATTCATTCTTTCCTTTACACAGATCAGTCATCCTGTCTCTCATAGTTGAGGTATACCTATGATGAAAATTACAGGCCTCTCTCATCTTTTTAAGTGGGAGAACTTGCACAATTGGTGGCTGACTAAATACTTTTTTGCCCCACTGTATATATGCAAATAATGCATACTACAGAGTTAGAAATAGAAACTATGCAAAAACTCTCTTGAAACTTATTTATCTTTCCAGTCACTTGATGAATTGATATTCCAAACTGAAATGGTAACTGAGATAATGCAACTTCAAATGTAAAATTCAAATAGTCATTTGACTCATGGATAAGCACCAGGCCTATGTTTTCTTCCATTTCTCTTCAGAAGGCCCTAAAGCAGTTGTAGACAGTAAAAGATCTGCTGAATTTTTGAATGGGATTGAAAGTCAAGCAGAGGTGTTCTGTAACAGGGGATCTCACAGCCAAGGCACAATGTCAGACTCTCATAGTCAACCATAGTAGCACAGTGCTTAACTTTTCACTTTCTTTCACTGTGACACTTCCCTTTAGGTGTGAGGGAGTAATGCTACTTGTGAAAAGGAATAGCCACAGATCCAAAGGTGAAACCCAGAGATGTGGTTTTTCCAGTAAATTTTCTCATTCAAATTAGTATATCATCTCCATATCCATAATACTGAATGCACTGGTAGTTGGACTACATTATTTGAAAAATAATGGAAAAAATTAAATCTAGCCTATTTATAACTTCTGAACAATACATTCAAGCAAATTAAAAGATTTGGTATGCGGAGAAAAAAATTATTGGAACACTGGAAACTATATTGAGAAATAAGCACTGAAACAATAAAACATCATATAGCTTTGAAACTGCCAAAGTTGTCTAAAATGGGAAAATTCTGATCCTGAAAAAATGGCAAAATACAACGAAATGTATACAATCAGAACAGTTCATTCATAAAGAAGGCTGTTTCTTTCATTCAAATTTTATTTAAATGAAAGTATTTATCCTCTTCTTTCTTCTCCCCATCTGCAAACTGTGTGCATGGCAGGCAGGAGATCTACTGTTTTCCTGCTACCTTTCTCAAAAGAGGAGTGTTTTTGCAAGCTTCTTCTGCAAGCTCCAAATTTCAGAATAATATGATCAACTTGCTCTCTATTTCTCCTGGCCAACAGAACTGTTTCTTGTGATATGTTGTTGAACTTTAGAGAAGCAACACAAAATACTTTCTCCTCCTGCCAAGTTGTACTGCAATGTGATATAAACGATGTTCCCACTACCAATTTTCTAGCACATGCAAAAATCTTGGAAGACAGATATAGTAAGTGGCAAACATAAAATTATGGCTTGGCTGGTCCAGCTTGTCAGGCATGAAAACTGGAAGGCCAGGATAACAGTAGCGCTATCTCCCTTTCCACAGAGATTTCATTTAATCTTCATTGGCACTTCATTAGTGAGAGGAAATTATGGAGCATCCATGAACCAACACTCATAAATCTCACAATGCATGGTCCAAAGCCATTTCACTTTCCGTCTCACAGTCCAAATTGTACAAATGTGACTAACAAAGATATCATGGTTGTTCTTCATACTACAGTCTCAAGAATGAATCCATCAGGGCCCTCTAATAGGAAGGTGTTACATTTAACATACTACACTGAAATCAAGAACAGAGACAGCTTTCCTATTCCACTTGGTCTCTGGTGACCTTGCTGTTTCTCTGGACCAGTTATATCATTTTATAAACTGAAGCATTTGGCAAGAACTCTATCTACTAGAATGGCAGAATGCTCCCACCAAAGAATTTTGTAAGCTCCAGAGGTTTCCAATCAGGCACAAAACCCTTGTGATCACAGTAAAGAACAAAATATTAGTATGGATTATTAAAGAAATTATAGTTTCCTCAAGTATTAGATTCCTTCAAAACATACCAACGTACATCAAGAAAAAGAAGATACAGCTCTTAAGATATATGAAGTAACTAGTAAGTTTAAAGTAATTGTTACAACTGTACCAATTCATCCCTACATGCCTACATTCCTGAACTATAAAAAGAACTAAATATGACTTCCTCTGGCAGGGGTGCATATTTTACTTTCCATTTAACACTACAGGATCAAATGGATTGAATACATCCTCAATATCTTCTGTCCAGACAAGAATCTTCTAAGTTAAGTTTCAGGACAGAGACAAAGCTCTAAAGCCATCAAATAAACAAGAACAAAGCCAGAATTTGTTTCTAGTCTTCCTTTCTCAAGGTCAACACTCTGTCACAGTAGACTTCCCCTCAATTACTTCCAAGATTGTATCTTCCCTATCACTCATACGGATTCAAATTTACTAGAACTATAACAAACATCTACATGCATTCAACCTATATGCAAGGAGATTAAAAACACATTGAGAGAGAGTTTGCATGAAAAAGCCCCACTTCTAATAATGTCACATATCCAGTTCCTCTACTGGCCTTTATGCAGTAAGCACACAAAGCTTCTAACTTCATTCAACACTTTTCAGATGTCAGCTTGTAAGGCAGGCAGGCAGGCAGGCAGGCAGGCAGGCAGGCAGGCAGGCAGGCAATATATCCTCCCTCTCTCCCATCTCCACTCACGCACTCACGCACGCACGCACTCCTAGAGTGGGGGACATAAATGCATGCCTTTTGCCCACTGCTTTTTCAACCTCTTATGTGGGAGGACTAATGCTGTAAGGGAAGGGAAAGGAGTCGGAGTTAAACAGGTATTATTAGGAGATACAAATGATCTTGCCAAATTGCCACTAGACCTTTACT